TGAAGTTTCAGGGTCACAAGACAGCTGCTGCAGCTCCAGACATCACATCAGTATTCAAACGGGGATAGGGGACCAAAGGGGAGTGCCATCTGCATCTCTCTCTCTCTCTCTCTTTCTCTCTCTCTCTTTTAAATGGAAGGAAATAAAAAAAACCTTCCTATCCAGCTGATGTTCACTTCAGTCTCATTGCCTGAAATGTGTAATCCTGGAACTCCAATTGCAAAGCAGGCTGGGAAACTCGCCTTTTACCCAGCATACATTGTTGTCCAGAACAAACTAAGATTCTGTTAACAGGGAGGGCAGGAGAAGTAGGAGAAGATAAGACAAGTAAGTATCCTGCATTGGGCTTCAGCTCTAACGCCCAAGTCCTCCTGGGCCTTGGCCAATGAACTACTAGCATCTTCTGTGGGCAGCTGTTAATATGGTTTAACGTGATTTTGTTTACTGGGCCTATTGAACTAAAACCCCAAACCACTGCCATCAAGCTAGATCCAATTCTAGCATCCTTCCTCCTGGTTTCTGTCTCTATAAATCTTCAGGGGGGGGAGATGGCTTGTCTTTCTCTTGAGGAGCGGCTGGTGGATTTGAACCACCTATCCTTCAGCTAGCAGCCTGACACCTTAACCACTGTGCCACAATAGTACTATTAGTGATGTAAAAGCAAGGCCCATGCCCCTGAGGTAACCTCAGGACGCTTGTAATAGTCAATATTGTGTGTCAACACGGCCACGAGCCTCAGTGTCGTGTAATTGTGCTGTGTTAGGAATCCTACCCTTTAAGATGCTAAGAGGAGCACTGGTCCCTACTGGCTAAGGAGTCGCACTACCAATCCAAAGCCAGCTGGTTCAAATCTACCTATCAGCTATTCCACGCGAGAAAGGTGGGCACTCTCCTCCCGTGTGATTTACGGCTTCTGAAAACCTGCTCGAGCTCAGCTGTGTGTCAGCTCCGACTCGACCGCCTCTGAGCTGCTGCTGTCTGACGTTGATGAAGACGCTTTGGTGAGGTAGCACAGAGAATAATATGCTGCTGCCCAAAGGCCTTGACCCTCCAGAGGTCTGAACTCACCAGCGCGGCACAGGAAAAGACAGGCAGCGTACAGTCCCTTCCGGTTAAAGGGTACAGTTTCAAAAACCCAGGGGAGGGTCCCTATGACATGGAGTCGCTGAGTGGTGGTCGATTTGACAGCAGGGAGGAATTTTAAAAGAGCAATGTTGACGAGGTAGGGTTAGAGGCATTGTGTAATGACAGGATCAACCTTGTCTGAGTAGGGGACATCCCCTCAGGTGTGTGGCCTGCACTGAATTAGGAACAGCCTCTGGGCAAAGCTAGTGAGCTTTCTGCCCAATCCTGCACCTGGCTTTTCACCTCGGGACTTGAACTGATGGCCTGCTGTACTCTCTAACGCTGCATTTGTCAGCTTCCTTAAACGCCTGTCTCCGTGGTCTGACCCGAGACTCGCAGGGGTTTGGCAGCCTCTAGAAGCAGATGAGCCATTTCCCTGAAACCAAGCTCTCTCTTCATGCCTGAGCATGGAGAGAGGTTTGGGGGCGGTGGCAGAAGGAGAAAATGTTTGAGCTTCCAGTATGTACAAAGGCCTTGAAGTGAAAGAAGTGTGAAATTGAGGAAATGAGAGTGGAGGTGTGATGGAGGCGGAGAGAGGGAGGCGGCAGTGTGAGCAGGGCTGGGGCATCCCTGGAAGGGTCTAGAATGCATCCTGAGATTGTGGTGTAACACTTGCCTTCCAGGATGGAGGCCCGGGTGGATGGAGGTTCCAGAGGCTGTCAGGGGACTCTGGTTGCCTGGAATGGGTGCCGAGGTGCTTTAAAACTCCAGCCTGGTTGAAAGGTGGGATCTGACCCACCCATGTCTGTGTTTGTGTAATGTATGTGGGTTGTAACGTTTTTCTTTCTGTTTCGGAGGAGAAGTAACTTTAAAAACACAGCCACTTTGCCTGAGGTTAAACTAAAAAAAGTTAAGGGATTTCCCCACCACCCTGAGGGGTGAGGGAGGCTGGGGCAGAGGGTCAGCTGGAGGCCCTGCCTGGGAACTTGAGTAAGAGCAGCTGTGAACATGGGGCCTGGGAGTTTGGGGGGACCAGGATGTAGAGATTCATTTTGATGTCTGGAACCTTGGGGTTCTACGTACATTCCCCCCCCCTTTAATTTAGCTCTCTAGAGAGTCAGTTCCTGAAAGCAGGGACTCTTGGGCACCACTCAAAGGTTCTCCCATTGGGAACAGTGCTTGGTATAGAGCAGATGTTCCACAGACAGGCGTTGAGTGAATGAATGAAAAGTTTAAGTAGAATGGAGTGAGTTAGTTAGGGTTTTTTTTGTTTGTTTTTTAGGAGTGAGAAGCCTGGGATTTGTCTGTGAATTAGCTGATACTGGATCTGGGGAGGTCTGGTGGCCGAGTGGGAAGGAATTGCGTTGCCAACCCACAGGCACGCACTTCGAATCCACCAGCTGCTCTGCAGAAGGATGGGCATTCTCCTCCCATCCCATTTACGGCCTCAGGAAGGCTGTGCATGGGGTCCTGACTTGACGGTGCGCAGCAGCAGCAAGAGCCGACCTGGAGGGGGCGCTCTGGCATAATCTGCAGGGAGCCGCACAGCTCGCTTCCCAGGTACGAATCCACCGGCCTCCGTGCAAGAAAGGTGAGCAATTTGATTGTGATTCATTGTGTGATGACAGTCTCTGCTTGTAAGTCAGCGCTCAATCGGTTCTGACTCACAGCAATGAATTCTGAGGGGTTTGTGGTATTTCTTTTTTTTTTTTCCATTTTGAAGCGCTCTGGTGGCACAGTGTTTAAGGCGCTCAGCTGCTAATTGAAAGGTCTCTGGTTCAAATCCTCCAGCCACTCCACTAGATGCCTAATTTTAAAGCCCACAGGAGAACTCTGGTGGCCTAGTGGTAAGAATCTGCATTGCAATCCCAAAGGCACCTGGTTCAAATCTGCCAGCTGCTCCACGGAAGTAGAATGGGCATTCTCATCCCATATGATTACAGCCTATGAAAACGTCTATAGTGCTGGTATGTGTTCGTTTAGTAGTTAGTATTGCTGAGATTACGTAGAGGACTAAAGAGCTAATCAGGAAAACGATTATAAACTGAGAGTCAGCTATGGGTCAATCCCGACTCATTGGTTCACAACAACAACACTGCCCTCAAGAACCCCATCCCGCCTTTAAAGAAACTGGCATTTGCTGAGTGCCTGCTGGGACCGATCTTATTGTCTTACTCTGTGGAGATACTTTCTGTGACATCCCATAATAAAGAGTGGAGTTTGGGGCTGCCCACTATCTATATTTACTTATTTCAGCAAGAATTTGGCTTCCATAAGGGAACCAACCTCTTCCTTAAAACACAACATTTTGATGGAATGACTTCTGAGGCTTGCTTCTGGCACGCAGTCCAGACCTAGCCAATCGGAGCACAGAATCCCCTGGGCAAATATGATTGGTTGAAGGATAGGCTCAAGACCTAAGCTCGCCCAATCAGAGATTTAGTAGGAGTGATGATTATTTTTCTGACCTTGAATTTCAAAGTGAAGACTGAAAGTAATCTGCCATAGAAGAAGGGAGAGCCAGGAAATACTGGGAAATAATTCCTGATTACACCATGTGAGCCCCTTGATCAAGATACATCTGAAGTCATAAATCCAAACTTCAGTCAATAAATTTATTTTCTCCTCAGCAGGTTGAAATGGGTTTTGCATTTGCAATAGCAAAAAAGTCCTTCCTGGCAGGGTATGAAAGTTTGAAGATTTGTGATAAATCAGCTCAGGGTCCTGAGACTAGAGCAGAAATGGCTGTGTCGGCTGAACCCAGCTGCAATGGGTTACTCATAGATATTTAGAGAATTTTATTTGGTTTATATTGCTCACACACACACACACACAAATTAAAGGAGAGGCCCCAAGACCAGAGGAACAAACCTCTGAAACCTTCAATTTAGCTCAGTGGAAGTAGTAACTTTCAAACAAGCAAGATTGGCGACCTTGGAGCAGAGGGTTGTAGGAGGGAGTGAGCACTCTGTCTCTGGAGGTATGCAAGTGGAAGCCGGGAGCCATGTGGATCCAAATTTCCAGAAGGGGTTCAGCGTTGGGTGGGACTGAAGTGAGTGGGCAGATGCTGCCCCATGAGGCTGCTTGTTGTGGCTGAGGTGACAGGGGTGGCATTTGGGGTCCTGGGCCTCGTCTTCTTTCTCTGGGGAAGGCGGGAGCAGGAGGGGTCGGCATCCAGTGCTGGATGTTCATACCAGCCTTCAGCACGAAGACATCAATCAAGCTCTGCAGCTGGCTGCCGAGGGAAGGAACAGCGAGGCCAGCCAGGGCACCATCTGGCTTTGGGTAGGCGTCCTGGTGGGTTGGACCGTGGCTGAGAGGGTGGGGTGGAACCTGGTAGGGAGACAGGCAGAACTGAGGATTTGGGGGCAAGCGCAACCATGGCCCAGTCATGGCTTTCCAGGTCCAGGGTTCACCCACCTCCAAGTGCTGCCTTACCCGCCAGCCCTGCTCCTCCCCATGTAACACATCCTCCCAACCCAGTGCTCCACATCCAGGAAGTCTTCTTGGGTTACTCCAGCCTGCCCTCCTTCTCTGTCCCAGGAGTCTCATGGCTCTGGCTCCCCCTTCCCCACATATGTGGCTGTCACATCTCCAAGCTATTGGGGTGAGGGACCATACAGTGCTCCCCTTTTCTTCCCTTGAAGTCTTCCCTCTTGCACGAGGATGGGCAGAGTGGGTGTACCCCATACCTCTCCAGCAAATTCACAACCTTTCCTTAAGCCTTGAGCCTACCTTCCAGGAAATGGGCTCCAAAGGGTGAGAGTGCCTCAGGCAGGTGACCAGAAGGCTGACCAGGCGCCACCTGGATACCTCCCCCCAACCCCTGTTCTGGCCAATCACCAATAGGGCTGCAGTCTCTTGTCAGTGTCTGGGTGCCTGCACCCCCTCAGTCAGACATGCCTGTTTGGAGCATGTGCAGGGGGTGTGCTCTTACCCCTAGAGGATGCTGCAGGCCCGTTTTTGCGTCCGCGTGGGCTGAGGGCACAGAACGGCCCGGATCGCCTCATCAAAGACCGTTTTCAGGCCCCGCTGGGTGAGGGCAGAGCACTCCAGGTACTTCACTGAGTCTGGGGGTGGGGTAACAGGAGAGGGGCAGTCAGTGAACGGGTTCTCCCTCCAAACCTCTTCCAGGTCACACAGCAGGATGCCAGGCTGGGGGATCACAGTCCATCTGGGAGCTGGACCCCCTGAGCAGGGCCTTTCCCTCTCTGTGCCTCAGTGTCCTCCAGCTTAAAGTAACTCTTTACAGGGGAGTGGAGTTCAAGGGCAGAGGGTGAGACCTAGCAGACCATCCACCATCCGAGCTTCTGATCTGGGGAGGGTATGTCTTTTACACTTAACTTTTATACTTCCCTGGGATGAAGAGTGCTCAAGCTACCCTGACCCAACCTCTCAGTGACACCTCACATTTCTAGAAAACAGCTACACTCGTGCCTCTGTGTTCTCTGGAGGTGCAGGAGCCTAAGGCGCTCAGGACCCAACACCAAAACCAGCCAAAAGGGTTACAATCCACTTGATCCGGAGTCAGGACAACTCCAATATGCATTGCATCTCAATGTCAAGAAAACAAAGATTCTCACCACTGCATCATCGTGATAGATGGAGAAAAGATTGAAACTGTCAACAACTTCATCTTACTTGGATCCACAATTAACACCCTTGATACCAGCAATTAGGAACGAAGGAGACGCATTGCCCTGGGAAAGTCTGCGATTGGGTACCTCTCCAAATTATTGAGAAATAATGATGTCTGTTTGAAGACTAAGGTGCGTCTGATTCAGCCCAGGTCTTTCTGATCATTTGCGATGCATCTGGCAGCCGGAAAATGAATAAGGATGGCTGAAAAAGAATTGATGTCTTTGACCTGTGGTGTTGGAGAAGAGCGCTGAGCATCTCATGGACGGCCAAGAGAACAAACAGATAAGTCTCGGAGAGGATGCAGCTGGAGTGCTCTTTGGAGGCAAGGATGATGAGGCTTCACCTCACATACTTCGGTCATGTTGCTAGGAGGGGCTATTCCATGGAGGAAGGACATGATGCTCAGAAAGGTATAGGGTTGACGAAGGAGAGGAAGACCCTCAACCAGGTGGATTGACACAGTGACTGCTGCTGTGTGTCAGGAAGTGTGAGGATGGCACAGGACAGAACGGGGTTCAGATCTCTGGTTCAGAGGGTCTCTATGGATCATAATCAACCTGACAGCACCTAACAACAACAACAACAACATGACAACTACTTTTGTTACAGAGAAGAGTACTTCATAGGGTTCTCTTGGCTGTGATCTTTACAGAAGCAGATTGCCAGGCCTTTCTTCTGTGGTCCTGCACCACCAGCCTTTACATGAGTTGCCAAGAGCCAACCGATTACACGACCTAGGAACCTAGCAGCTCAAGATCTTCTCAAAAGCCTCTCACCAAACCTCAGCCTCACCCCCATTTTGCAGATGAGAAAACTGAGGCTGGTAGAAGATAAGTCACTCATCCAAGTTCACATGCTGGATGTTTCTCTTCTACCTGAAGTCAGGAGGAACTTCAGGGAGGGGAAGAGGACTTGCAGATCCACCTTGTGACATCACAGGGCAGAGTTGGAGACACGGGCTGTGGAGGACAGGCTGAGACCCAATCTCAGAGCAGCCAGTGTTGTTCCTGGGTTCCATGACACTCTGGAAGGAACCAGTGTGACTTCCCCAAATCCACTATAATCCAGTTTCCCTGAAATAAGGAACCGCAAAGCCCCTTCTACCAAGAGGCCTAGGGGCTGATTTCAGAAACAAGAGGAAGGAAAGGAGAGGGGGAGTAAACTCTACATCCTCCCATAAAGCTGCTGTTCTGAGGGGAAGGAGGGGACTGACACCACCTGCTCTGTACCACACTGAGCTGGACACTTCCAGCAGCTCTGTGATGAAATACAGTGATTTCCCACAACATGGGGAAGCCACAGCCCAAAGGCACAGAATGGGGCTGAGGGAGCCAGGATTGCAGGCCAGGGAAGGAGGGGAGCCCACCAGAGTGGAGGCTCCCCAAAGACCTGGGAGCTAGAGTAGGGACAGGGGCCCCTCAGGTTGGTGAGCTACTCAACACAAGAGCCTCTGTGCTGAGGGGGACGTCACTTATAAGGGACCCTGAGCCAGTGACCACCTCCCTCACACCAGCCACTGCCTTCCCCCTGGCTCTGCCCCTTTATGCCACTTGCCTCTTAGAACTACCCAAAACAAGGACTTGAGCTGGGAACTGGGCTGGCTTCAGCTCAACCTCTGACCCACTCTAGGATATTGGCCAATCACCCCTCTCTGGGCCTCGATTTCCCCATCTGTCTAGGACATGTGGACAAGTGAAGACTGAGGCGGGGGCAGGGGGCCAAGTAAAGAGTGTGAGGCAGACCAGTGACAATTGATGACCCTGACCTTCTGGATTTAGGGATCCAGGTGACCAAGTTCAAATCATGGTTGTGTGACCTTGAGCATGTGACATCTCCCCGAGCCTCAGTTTCCCCTTCTGTAAAGTGAGGGTTGGTTAAAAACCAAGAAGAATGTGTGTGCAACAGCGTTCCTTTTCACTGAACTAAATCTGTGTGTTGCTGTTGTGTACCATCCAGTTGGAACCTACGCATAGCTGATCCTCCAGCGGGTTTTCAGAGGCAGTAACTGAGCAGAAGGAGACGGTCCATCTTTCTCCTGTGGAGCAGCGGGTGGATTCGAACTGAATGCCTTCGAGTTAACAAGCACTTACCACTAGACCACTCACCTGTATACTGGGTAACTCATACAGATAAACTATATAAAATACAAAGAATGGAGAAAGGCTAATTAACAGCCTCTGACATGCAGATGACACGGCCTTGCTTGATTGAAGCTATGAATAAAAGGACTTGAAGCATCGAAAAAGATTAAAGATCACAGTTTTCAGTATGGTCTACACTTCAGCGTAAAGAAAACAAAAATCCTCACAACTGGACCAATAAGCAACATTATCCTCTACAGAGATAAGACTGAAGTTGCCAAGGATTTTATTTTTACTTGGATTCACTGTCAATGTTCATGGAAGCAGCAGGCAAGACATCAAACCAGGACTGCGCTGGGTCAACCCACTGCAAAGGCCTCTTGTTTAAAAGCCAAGATGTCACATTGAGAACTAAGGTGTGCATATGCATGTGAAAGTCAGACAATGAATAAAGAAGACCAAAGAGATTAGATACGCCTTTCAATGATACTGAAGTTGATGAAGAATTCTTAAAAGGCCATGGGCTACCAGTTGTTGTTGCTGTTGCTGTTATGTGCTCTCGAGTTGCAGGCGACTCATAGCGATCCTATGAACGAAAGACCTAGGCACCTGTATAACTTTAATCCTTTCTCCAGGTTCATAGGGTTTCCAGAGGCAAGCTATTACTGGGCTACCAGTAGAATGAAAAAAATCTGCCTTGGACGAATTGCAGCCACAGTGTTCTTTAGAAGCAGGATGTCAAGCCTAAACTCACCTCCTGTAGATGTTATCAGGAGGGACCAGTGTCTGGAGAAGGGCATCATGCCTGGCAGAAGCCGAAAAGAGGAAGTCCGTCAACTAGATGGGCTGGGACAGTGGGTGCAGCAGTGGCTCAAGCAGTGGCTGTGAGGACAGCGCACGGCTGGACAGCGCTTCCTTCTCTTGCACTCGGGTCACTAAGTCAGCCCCAGCTGTCCAGCACCTAGCTGCAGCGAAGTGGAGGAACTAGAGTCCCGCCCTTGTAAGGGCGGGGAGGATGGACAAGGCTTGGCGCCCAAGAAATACTTAATTCCTGTCAGCCATGGCCATCAGCAGCCCCTAGGTTGGCATCCCTGGGGCAGAGGAGGGGCTCAGGGGACAGAGGCAGCCCCTGGCCTCTTCATCAGCCTTGCAGGTTCCCTGGGCTGAGAATAGTTCAAAGTCATTGCCCACCCGAGGCCAGCGTAGAGCTGTGGGGGAAATGCTGATGGGAGTACAAGGCCAGACCCCAAAACCACCACCTCCTAGAGGAAGAAGGGCCTGTGGGCGCTGCCCAGGGTTGTGCAGATGGGGAGATTGAGGCCCAGAGAGGTGGAGCTACCAGCTTAAGGCCACACAGCCTGTGAGTGCTGGAACCAGGGCTCGTTATACTAAAAAAGGGATCAGCCTGCAAACAGTCTGTCCAGGGCAGGTGTCCTTCGATGCACACTGAAGGCGGGGGTACAATCCCAGGGGTTTGGGATCAAAGGCTGGGTTTCCGGGAACCAGGTCCCCAGGATGGAGTGGGGTCCAAGCTTAAGCGGTAGCCCGAAACCCCTGGGAAGATGGCTGTGTCACAAGGCTGGTCATGAGAAGGAGGGAGGTGGTGGCTGCGGTTTCTCTTCCTGTGAAGAGATATGAGTCCGGGGGTGGTAAGGAAGAAATCAGTGTGGTAAGTACCATCCAAACAAAAACAAACCCACTGACCATCAGCCAATTCCAATTGGCCGGGGGGGGGGGGGGGGACCCTCCCTGTTCCGGTGGGGGGGGGGGGGGGGGGACCCTCCCTGTTCCGGTGGGAGGAGGCGGGGCAGGCAGAGACAGCGAAGGTGGGGGCCGCCCTCCGTGGAGCCAGGCTCTGGTCCTGTAGGACTTCAAGATGCGGTAGGGGTCTGCTGCTGGGCCTCCTGGGCGCCACACCTGCCTGGGGCCGTGGACACCTGGACACACTCCCATCCTTGGGCTGGGTCCTGCCTGATCAGGAGATGGGAGAGGGCAGATCCCTGAGCCACCACAAGGGGTCCTCAAGCCAGCAAAACTGAGGTCCCACCTTCAAGCTCTGATTGTCAACTACCAGCTGTGTGACCAAGTCACTTCACTTCCCCAACCCTGTGATCTGAAAGAGGAGATGGACTGAGAAGCAAGGGGACAAGGAAGGGCCTCTCATCCTTCAAACCCAGCTCTAAGACACCTCCTCCAGGAAGCCTTCCAGGAGGATCTCAGCTTGGCTTTCTGCTTGTCCTCTGAACAACCACAGCACCTTCCCCACTGACCCCAGCTTCTGCTTAAAACATACCTGTTTCCTTTCAATTTCTATTTATCAACAGTAATAATAATCGTTGGTGTTTGCTATCAAGTCAGAACCAACTCATAGCTGAGCCTCTAGCAGGTTTTTAGAGGCAGTTAATCAATTGCACAGGAGGAGATTGCCCATCCTACTACAACAGAGCAGCTGGTGGATTAGAACAGGGTGCCTTTGGGATTGCAGTGCAGCTTCTTACCCCTAGGCCACCAGAGCTCCCAATAATAAGAACAATAATAAAGAATAATAATGGCAGCTAACCGCAAGTACTCCCTGTGTGACGTCTCCTTACCAATGTTAACTCACTTCGTTTCTCCAACAACGCCCTGAGGTGGGAAGTGTGACCTAGGTTTTGCTGATGAGGAAACAGGCACAGAGAGGTTGAGTGACTTGCCTGGGGTCACACAGCTAGGACACAGCCCAGCCAGGTCTGCACCACACATCCTGGCACCCAGAGCCTGCGCTCCTGGTCCCCACCTCCAGCTGCCCCCCTGCGCCCGAGCCCAGTACCAATCTCCTTGGCCAGTGCCAGGCCCTGCGGGTAGGTGATGGGCGCCAGCTTCTTCTCCTTCAGCTTCTCGATGGTGTCCTTGTCGTCCCGCAAGTCCAGCTTGGTGCCCACCAGGATGATGGGGGTGCTGGGGCAGTGGTGCCGCACCTCGGGGAACCACTGGGCAGAGGGCAGCGGATGAGTGAGGATGGGTGGGGACAAGAAGGGGGGTGCAGGGGAAGGAGGGGGCAGGAAGGTGGGGTCGTGAGATCATGTGGAGAGGAGGAAGGACAGGAGGGTGATAAGAGGCCACCTCGAGGGTTTGTGGAGAGAAGAGGTGGACAGGAGGGTGTGTGGACAATGAACCAGAATGCAGTGGGTCAAACAGGACCCAAGATTGTTCAGAAAAAGAGGATACAGGTTACAGAGTACAGGGAGCAAAACCCAACTATCCCAGGACCTCTGAAAGCTCCCTCCTGAGTGCCCCCACAGCCCTGCTTGACACTGGACTACCCCCCTCCACCAACATCCCCTCACTGTGTAGGGGCAGGACTGAAGTCACGGTCTCTCCCTCCCTCAGGGTCCCCTAAAACCCACCCACCCTATATTTCCAACACCCCCACCAAGCCCAGCTCACCTTGGCTCGCACGTTTTCATAGGAGGCTGGGCTGACGAGAGAGAAGCAGATGAGAAAGACATCCTGGGGGATAGAGTGGACAGAATGGTGCCATGAGGGGAGGCTGAGGAGCCAGCCAGGCGGGGTGCTGGGGTTCAGGCTTCTGCAGAGCAGGGCTTCCCTCCCTCCTCTCTCTCCCAAGCTGGGGTTTATTTAATCTCACACTTAGTGTAGGCCAGGTCCTATTCTAACTGCTTACTCCTCAGATGAGGCTCTGCCTGCGCCACTGCTACTGCCCCCATTCCACAGATGGGGAAAGTGAGGCTTATGAAGTTTAGCAGATTCATGGAGGCTAAGATGGGCAATCTCCTCCCATGCGATTCACTGCCTCTGAAAACCCGATGGAGGGTCAGCTATGGGTCGGTTCTGACTCGATGATACATAACAACAAAACTAACAGTAAGAGGGGCAGCTGGGAGGATCCTGACCATTGTACTCCTCTGGTCTAGTGACCAGACCCAGACCTCCCTGACCACTCCTCAGGGACAGACAGACACCTCTAATTATATCACCACAAAGCTACAAGCAGACATGCCCCCACTTGCCTCCCCTCCCTTGTCCTCCAGCAGGTCACTGTCCTGGCCTCCCTGTTGGGGGCCTGGTTAGCCTCTCCCTCCATGAGCCAGAAAGGGAGTAGGTCTGGGAAGGGGGGCAGAGTGATGGCAGGAGGGTGGTGGTGCTAGCTTCCCAGAGGAGCCAGGCCTTACATGGGGTTCACCAGCCGAGCCCTCCGAGGACCCAGGTGGGCAACATACCGTCTGGGGGTAGGACAGGGGTCTGAGGCGGTCATAGTCTTCCTGCCCGGCTGTATCCCACAGTCCTAGGTTCACCGGCTTGCTGTCCACCATCACGTTGGCCGAATAGTTGTCAAACCTGCGAGGAGAAGCAGAGGTCAGCCACAGACTCCACGGTCCAGTCCATAACCGTGGATAGCAGAGGCTGAGCCAGAGAAGGCCAAGCACTGGCCCAGAGCCGCACAGCACCAGAGAGAAGGTTTTTCTGTTACTTTTCCACAAGTGACTCAATACATCAAAATTCAAAATGCAGGTAGACAAGGAGAGGAAAATATTAAAATATTACCTCGTGGTAATTTCCGCACCCTTAACTGTTGCCCGGAGAGGTGGTCCCACCCACCCCCCACCCCAGGGCTAGATCAGCATCAGCTTGACCATACGCTTTGTGGGCGCTTAGGGTGGTCACCCAGAAGTTGTTGATTGAATGTCCACTCTGTTGGCTTGGGTGCTCCCAAAAGCAAGCCCTGTGATAAGGGGGGGGGGCGTGCAACTGGTTTATCTAAGATGTTAAAAGGAGGGGGATAAGGAATAGGCAGGGAAGAGAATGTGCAGGGGCCCTGAGAGGGCCGAGCTGGCCCCAGGCTCTGCAGTGAGCGTTAGAACATGAACAGCCCACTGTACACAGCGTGGCTCCTCGTTCTGAAGGGTGTTGGGCAGGTAGGATGCCCACCGTCTCACTAGTGACCAGACTGGATGAGAAGCCAGCTCTGTCTGTCACTGCTAGCGTTCACTGACTCTTGTCACCATAGTCGTGTCCCTGAGAATTACAGACCATGCTCCCGCCCCATCTCCCTCACTACGGGGTCGTCCACACAGGCCTTGCTCTTCTGGCCTGGTCCACTGGGACCTCGGGCTCCTCCTCACACTCCTTCCTCCACACATTAGCCCAGTCACTGGGGCAAGGCTCCCTGGCTGTTTGTTCGCTCTGTGCCTCTAGCCCTGAATTTTCTTCCTCTGTCTCTGCTTGTCAATCCCACCCCCACCTCAACCACATGGTTTCCGTCCCCAGGCTGCGCCACCTTTCCATGGTCTGTTCCTTTCTGTATCTCTCTAGATACACCTTCCTTTCTCCCCACCCCATCCCCCTTGCCTGTTTCTGCTCCAAAGCCCAGCAGTTCCCCTTCCTTAGGAGATCCTTCCCTGGCCCCATCTTTACCGCCACCATGGAACACATATTTAGTGTGTCTCCATCCTAGCATGGGCTCTGGGCTCCTGGCAGAACTCTGGATAGCTCTGCCATCTGAAGCCCGGTGCCCAGTGTGTAAATGGAACTAGATCAAATTGAATTTACACCCTTCAGATGCCACCTCTTCCAGGAAGCCCTCACTGATACGCTGCTTAGCATCAGGTTGCAGAAGCACTAATCCTTTAGATGAACTCTGAGAGGCCTCTCCAGAGGAAGTCTGCCCCTCAGCCTACTGTTTCTAATATTCTCTGTGCTTGTTCAGCCTGGAAAGTGTGACTGTCACCTCTCAGTTCCTCAGGTGGCCTTGCTCTCTCCTGCCTGCAGAGCTCTTACAGCACCCCTCCCTCCCTTCCCCCTCTCTGGGCCCCCTCCTGCAGGCCCGTCCTGCTGACTTACTCATTCCTGCAATATCACCTCCTCCAGGAAGCTTTCCCTGACTGCTGACTTACTCATTCCTGCAACATCACCTCCTCCAGGAAGCTTTCCCTGACTGCTGATTTATTCATTCCTGCATCATCATCTCTTCCAGGAAGCTTTCCGTCACTCAAGGCCAGGTCAGGGCTCCCACCCCATCCTAACCCAGCATTCCCTGGGGCACTCAGTGCCCTGGAGTGGAAACCCAAGAGGGAGGACCAGTGTGTTCTTCACACAGCACACAGCGTACAGTAGGTGTTCGACACAGTGGGCTGTCAGGGAGGAGCACTGTCCAGGGAGACGCGAGCTGGGTCTGATGGGAAAGCAGAGCTTGTGTTGTCATCAGAGTCCCTGGGCGGTGTAAACAGTTGATACATTCCACTGCTAAATGGAAGGTTGGCAGTTTGAGCCTACCCAGAAGTGCCTCAGAAGAAAGGCCTGGCAATCTACTTGTTAAAACGTAGCCCTTGAAAACTCCGCGGGGCACAGTACTACTCTGGCACACCTGGGGTGGTCATGACTGTGCTTGGTTTTGACTAAACACTCCTCTGGCACAGTGTAGGATGTCAGGTCACTTTCTCCTATAGTGTCCAGACTGGAGTTCTGATGCCCAAAAGCCTCCGAAGATTCCTTGAGGCAAAAGTGTCTGTCACCTGTCTCGTCTAGGTCACGTGGGGCCTCAGTGGTCATGGTGATGGGGAAGAGGGCTGGAGACCCTAGGACACTCTCTCTCTCTCTCTCTCTCTCTCTCTCTCTGTGTGTGTGTGTGTGTGTGTGTGTGTGTGTAATCAGCTCCAACTCACAGCAGTACTGTGTACAGCAGAAGGGCTGTCTGACCCTGTGCCCCCCGCCCCCAGTCTGCTCAGTGAACGCCCACTGGTGCAGCCATTGGATCAGGCCATCTCGGTGGGGGGCGGACACAACAAAGCAAAACCTCTTGAATGCATTGACACTGAGTTGGGATGGACTCATAGCTGACCCTCCAGTGAGTTCCCAAGGCTGCAAATCACACAGGAGGAGACTGCCTGTCCTCTTCCCTCTAAGTGGCTGGTGGATGCAAACTGGCAGAGAGGTGTGACTTCTGGGCTGGCAGTGCCACTTCCTATAGACTACACCACCAGAGCTCCCGCCGTTTTGCTGAGGATCTGGAAATCCCGTGGTCCCCTGGACAAAAGGACTTTGTTGCCGGGTGATTCACATGTGTCCCCAAAATAGTGAAGCTCAAAGCCCCGGTACAGGCACACAGCACAAGGCAAATGCAAGCCCAGTGCCAGAGCACCACAAAAAAGCAGGTAAATCAACTCAAGTGAGTGAGTGGTTTCCAGAGAAGTTAAAAGTTATACTTACATTATACTGCATAGCCTGTTAAGTATGCAACAGCTTTATGGAAAAATCTGAACTGTTTCCAGAATTACCAAAATGTGACCCGGAAACAGAAAAGGAACACACGCTCCTGGACAAAAGCCACCAGTAGACCTACTCAACGCAGGGTGACTACAGACGTTCCATTTGTGCAAAGCAGAAATGCACTACCTTCAGAGCTTTGCAGAGTGGAGGCCAAGGAAACAAGGTACCTGTGACCGAGGCTTTGATGGGAAAGGTCTTTGCAGATGTAATCAAGTGTAAACGAGGTCATACAGGGTTAGAGCAGGTCCTAATCTCATTACTGGTGTCCTTATAAAAAGTGAGAAATTTGGGCACTGGAGACCCAGTGGGGAAACAGCTACAGGATGATGATGGCAGAGGTCGGGGTCGTGTACCTAAAAGGCAAGGAGTGCCACAGATTGGCAGCACCCACGGGAAGTGAGAGGCAGCAGTCCTGACTCCTTGCTTTCGGGCTTCCAGCCACCAGACTGTGAGAGAATACGGTCTTTAGCTCACCCAGTTGTAGTCATTTGTTACAGCAGCCACAGGAAACTAATACAGACTCCAAGTTACTCCATCCCATTAGACAGATGAGAAGACTGAGGTCAAGAGATGTTAAATAATGTTTCTAAGACCACTCAGCTTAAACACAGAGGCTGAGATTTGAGTACCCCTCCTCCTGTGAGTTGTGGGCGGGTAGACAGATGAACCCCAAGCTGGGTTCACCCCCACATAGCACCCAGGGATGACAGGAGGGGATCAGAGAGAGCCCTTTGGGTGCTGTATCCTGGCTGTGTGATCCTGGGTGAGGGACTCGGGTTCTCTGAGCCTCACTTTCTGCATTCTGAAAAGAGCCCTCCTGGAGCTGTGGGCAGGATGCAGAGGATGTCACAGTCACCCTATCAGGAGATGCTGAGTGTCCTTATGATCCATGTCCCTCAAGGCCCCCACCAGCCCTCTCCCAGAGCCCCCTACATCAGACTCACAGGCAGCCAGAACCCAAGGACTATTCCCCACCGTTGTGGCCAATCTTTGTGCCCATCCTCCAGATAAGGAAACTGAGGCTCACAGACTGGAGGCAACTTGCCTGAGATCTCACAGTCAGTTAATAGCACAAGGACTAGAGCCCGTTACTCAACTCAGAAAAGCCCGTGTGAGAAGCATCTGGGCTACTTCACAGACACTCACTCAGTGGAGCTCAAGCCGGGGTACGCATGGGTCGCCGACCAAGAGCAACCACCAAGTGCGGCTCCAGGTCCTTCCCACAGCGACCATCCCAGCTGGCCCACGCAGCAGACTCCATCCTGGCTCCTCTGAGGATGTTAGTTGTATCAAGTGAATTCTGATCCGCGGGTGTGTGTGTGTGTGTGTGTGTGTGTAACTGCTGTGTAGTGTTTTCAAGGCCGTGACCTTTCAGATCCCCTGGCCTGTCATCCAAGGCATCTTTGGGTGGGTTCAAACCACCAACCATTCAGTTAACAGTCCAGTCCATAACCTGCCAGAGGATTCCCTGTCCCCCTGTAGATACAAGGCACCTGTGACTCAGAGACTCCAGCTGACCTGCCTAAGGCGACATGATACTCAGAATCTGGACTCCCCAGGGTGGTGGCCCAGGAGGACACTGGGACTATCCCCACAGACATGACCCAGAAATGGATGAGGGAAGGGAGAGCTCATCTGAACTGGACTCTGGCCCACCCCTCAGGAGGGATGAGGGATGATGGTGTACCTCCCATGGCTGGACCCCGGAGAGCACAGAGTAGAGGTTAGGGGCTTTGTTGTGAGGGTAAACTGGCCAGGTCAGGCAGGCTGAGGACAGCAGGAGGACTTCATCTCAGTCTCCAGCACAATGGAAACCTCGGAGGGACTATGCTTAGCTAGAGCTGCATTGAGGAAAGGACCCTCTCAGCTTCAAAGGCAGGGGTGGTTCAGAGGTAGAATTTGACCTTCCCCACAGGAGTCCTGGGTTCAAATCCCGGACAGCATACCTCATGCACAGCCGACACCCATCTATCTGTCAGTATAATTTTGCATATTATTAGGATGTTGAGCAGATTTGAGGGGCGCTCTAGACTAAGACTAGGAAGAAAAGCCTGGCAATCCACTTCAGGAACTCAGTTCAAAGCATAGAGTGGTTCCCTCCTATTGTGTGCAGGTTCGGGGCCAGCTTGGTGGCTCCTGACAACAACAGCTCTGGGCGGCTGGCTGGAGAAATTGCTGGAGAAGGGGGCTCATACATTGTCATTGGTGAGACATGAGGGTAGCTGGTGTTCCGGGTGAGGACACAAGGAACAGAATTCTGAAACAAAGGGGAACATGAGCAAAGGCAGGGAGGCTGGAAACAGTTCCTCCACACAGCCAGAAACTGCAGGTGGACCAGGAGCAGGAGCTGGCATGGAGGGCACGTCAGAGCTGGCAGCGAAGCCCAACAGGATCCCTGGAAGGCCCAGCGAGAGCACCCAAGCTTCCTCCTGCCGGTGGATGGTCACGCTGGATCTGCCAGTCCAGTGATGAGAAGGTGGACATTGAGGGCAGGACGATCTGACCTAAATGAACAGTGTGACCTGGCCTTTCACAGCAGAACAGAGCAAAGGGCCGTGATAGTTACACTGCTGGACAAGGTGCGCCCTCTCTGCTGTCTGCCTGTCTGCCTGTCTGTCTGCCTGCCTGCCTGCCACGGCCGCCTGAGCATCACCAAGCACCAGATAGAGTGGACGGGAGGGGACAAGAGCCCTGTCCTCACCAAGCCTCCCCTGCAGCAGGGCAGCACACAGGGCGAGGCGATGAAACAAAAGATGGGCTGCAGTGAAATGGGCGGGAAGGTGCCATCTGAGCAGAGACTAGACCCGGGCAACCGGAAGTGCACACGGAGAAGGGGAAGTGGGCAAGGGGTGTGGGGCCGATGAGGCTAGCAGAGGATGAGTCTGTCATTCTGAGCCTCGAATGCCAGGATAGGAGGTAGATTTTACAACTGAAGCGGGGCCACGGGGGTGGGGGGTGGGGGATAGGCTGGGTGTGGCTTATAGTCACCTGCACTCGGGCTTCTGTGTGAGCATGGGCTGGAAGGATGTGAGGTGGGCAGAGGAGGTCCCGGTGACACAGCCACCCTGGGGGCAGCGTCTTCCCTGCCAGGTTTCTATAGCCCCCCACCCAGCTCAGCACCAGCCACATTACAGGCCTCAGTTTCACTCTCTGTGAAATGGGGCACTGGCCCTAGCGAATCCAGAACTGAGAATTAAGGTAGAAATCATCTGGCTGTAAGCGCCATGGTGACAAGCTGGGATAAACAATTCCCATCACTTCTCTGGGCCTCAGTGTCCTCCAAGGATACAATTGAGCCTAAAGAGTGAGAGAGCCAGCCAATCAATGGGCGGCTCCGGGGATGCCAGCCCCTGATTGGGTCCCAGCTGCTGAGTCCTGGCCCATGATTGGCAACTGCAACAAGGACAGTGTCTTCCTCCACCTACAAAGTCACATGTTCAAGACCCGCCTGTGAACTGTTTAACCCCCAATGCTGGCTCCCTGTTCGGCTCCTGCCGGGCTTACCTGATCTCAGCCTGCAGCAAGTGCCGCCCTCGGCCCCACAAACCCACCACCACAGCTCTTAACGGGCTCAACCTTCATCTCCAGGCGCATGTTTCTCCCATCCCCCCTCTTCCGCTGCTCCTTCCACCCTCCAGACCCACCAATGTCAAGGGCTCAGTGGTAAAGAAACCCGAGTGGTAGTATGTAACATGTCAGGTTGCTAACCATTAGGTCAGTGGTTCGGATGCACATCTTTTTCTGTGTACAGACTCGGACACCAAATCAGCTGGAGAGCAGTGAGTGAGTCACAGAGGCAGGAGTCCTAGTAGCACTATGAGCTAAGCATTTACCGCTGCAAAAGCCGCGGGAGAAAGAGGTGGCAGTCTGCTTACGTAAAGATTTGCACTGTTAAGGAGGTAGAGCAACTATCCCCCCAACCCTGCAGAGTCCTGGGGAGACAAACCTTGTTGGGTCCTCTCTGTCAGCCTCTGAAAGCGTGTCCAGGACAATGGAGTTCAGTTACCAGGGGACAAGGACTCCAAAGAGGCAAGAATGCTGGACTCTAGCATGTCTCAGCAGACTCCGTGATTTAGGGAGACACTTGAGGGCTGACCTTGACTGACCCTTATCTTGTAGACAGGAAAACTCCAACTCAGAGAGAGGAAATGACTAGTCTGGGGTCCTCCAGCCTGCTGGGCCCACTCAGGACAGGGCCACCGGCCAATATCCTTAAGAGATGGCAGGTCCTCCTGGGTATGGTGACCTGCAGAAGCTGCCTTCTGGGACCCCCCCACCCCACTTTGCAAATGTGGTCAGGTGCAGAATCTGAGGAATTGGGGCTGAAGTCTGTTTTCAAGGCTTCCTGCCACACTTCCTGCCTGGGCCAGGGTGCCTGAGACAGCTGTGTCTAGGACAGTGTGTCTGACTGAGCTATCTGCAGGGGAGCCCGTCCACAGCAGGGATCAGAAGGGTTAGCTCTGGTAGGCTGGGGGTGGAGCGTGATAGAATATTAGGGTCAGAGCCCCTGGTGGTGGTGGGTCCTTCTCATACCAGGGCTTCTGCCTGTTCCCCTCCTCCCCATGGAAGCCTGAAGCCCTCCCAAATCCTAAAGATGAAGCCCTTTAAAATCAAGACAGCCGCTGTCTGGTATGTTGTGTTGTAGTAACTTGCACACTACTGTGATACCATTGACTGCCAAGAAAATAAACAGGTCAATCCTGGGAGGATAAAACCTAGTTCTCCTCAGAGACTAGGATTTTGAAGCTCCATCTCACATACTTTGGGCACGCTGGCAGGGCAGAACAGTCCTTAGAGAAGGCCATCATGCTTAGAAGGGTGGAGAAGGACCGGTGCAGGAGAAGAAGACCCCAGATAAGGTGATTGACACAATGACTGTGTAAATGGTCAGATGTGTCAGAGAGCGTGAGGTTGGCTCAGGATAGGGCAAGGTTCAGAGCTATTGTTCATAGCGTCACTATGGGTCATAGTCAATTTGATGGCATGTAATAACAACAACATGATACTAGAAGCTGGTGCACCAGTGTTTCAAACACCAGCAGGGTCATGGTGACAGGTTTCAGCAGAGCTTCCAGACTAAGACTAGGAAGAAAGGTCTGGCCGTCTACTTCCAAAACTAGCCAATGAAACACTTAGAATGCTCCATGGCTGCAACAATGGACCCAAGCAGACTAACAAATATGAAGACCAAGAATCATCCCATTGTGTCACATATGAGGTTGCCAGGAGTTGGAGTTGACGTGATAACAAATAACACAGAGCAAGAAATTAAGACCTCAGTGGTGCTTTGCCCTGGGCCTGGCTCTGAAGCCAGCCAGGCTGGGGTGGCCCTGGGGAGCAAGTCTCTTAGCTGCTGTGGAGGAGATCCCATGTGGGTAGCATCTGGTGCAGAGCCCAGCACGCAGGAGGCCCGGCACAGACGTGAGCCATGATCACTGCTCCTTGGACCTCTCCATGACGCTCAGTGCAGGTCAGCTCAAAGCGCACACACTGAGCACCTGTTTTAAATATAAAGAAGCAATGTGCCAGGGCCCAAAGGGCAGCTACACAGGCTCCTAGTCAGAGCATCTGATGCTGGTGGGCACCATCAGGCCACCTATAACTACAGGGACCCTACAGCAGAAAGAAACCGTGCCCCATCTGACGCCATCCTCACACTCTTCCTGGGCTTGAGCTCACTGTCACGATCACAGTGTGAGTCCATCTCGCTGAGGGTCTTCCTCTCATTCCCTGACCCTGTCCAAGCATGACATCCTTCTCCAGCTGGGCCCCTCTAAACAGCTATGTCTTGGAGAAAGCGCAGCCAGAGTGCTCGTTGGAGGCAAGGATGGTGAAGCTTCACCTCACATACTGTGGGCATGTTGTTAGGAGAGGCTGTTATTTGGTGAGGGACAACATGCTAGGAAAGGCGGAGGGTCCGTGAAGAAGAGGAAGACCCTCAATGAGATGGACTGATTGATACAGTGTCTGCAGCAATGGGCTTGGAAGTGTTGGGGGTGATAAGGACGGTGCAGGACAGGACAGGGTTCAGATCTGTTGTACCGAGGGTTGCTATGAGTCGTGCTTGACTTGACAGCCCTAACAACATGACCAAGGTGTCAGACATGAAGTCTTACCATCCTAGCTTCTAGGGGACACTCTGCTTGAACTTTTCCCAAAACACTCAGAGGAGAGAGCAGATAAAAGCTGCAGGACTCTGGAGAGTGGGAGAGTTGTTGGGGGCAGACCAGAAAGGCTTCCTGGAGGAGGGGGCATTTGAACTGAGTCGAAAGCCTCAAGCACATTGACTTGGTAAAGAAAAGCACCTGAAGCAGAGCGAAGAGCTCAGGAGAGGCCTCAAATGGAAGACCCCCACAAGGCACTAGAGAGAGCTGAAACAGGCAGAGAGCAAAGGCAGCGAGGAAGCAGCCTCGAACGCCACAACTCAGGGGGCTGCGGGTTTGTGAGTGAGGGGCCTGGTGCATCTTGGCTCATCGCTGCCTTCAAGGTTGACTCCTACATTCAGGTAAAATGTCACCCACCCTCACCTCCGGTCACCTACAAGGCAGGGCCACGCAGTGCTGCCCATTGGGGTCACTGCTCCTGGTCTCCAGGTCTTCACTTACTTCCTCCTCCTCCCAACTCCTTCCCACATTTCTCCTACGCCACCCCACCTCCCCTCCTGCCCTAGTCCTGCCAGCCCTCTCCTCCCAGGTCTAAGTCGTCTGAGACTCTGCCCTATAAAGGCCACCCTGTCCCTTTCACATCCTCCAGGTCACTCTCCTTGTCTTGTCTGAGGAGCCCACAGCACTCCCAGCTTGCAGCCCTCTTCTTGGTCAGGGCCAGGATATGGCTTGGGCATCTCCCTAGGCTCCACGTCCTTCTGGCCCCTCCTGTATCAGAATGGCTCCCACCACCTCCAGTCCAGGACTCTCTCGCCCACCCCACAGCCCCAGGTGCAGGCACTGTAATCCTCCCCTCCCCTGCTGACCCCCGAGCCCAGCACGCTCTCACCCAACCTGCAGCCCCGGCCCGGCACTCACACGGTGGGGATGTACTCTCCAGGGAAGGCATTGGTGGTGTAGCTGATAAGGAGGCAGGTCTTGCCCACTGCTCTGAAAGACAGGAAGCACAGAGGACAGTGGTCATCAGCCCGCCCCAGAAATGAGGACAGCGGTCATCAGCCCTGACCCAGATGTAGTGGTATTTCTGAGCGCCTACCAAGCCCTCCATCCCACCCCTCAGGGTGGACCTCAGTGTCTGTCCAGGTGCAGGCCTGCCGGTGCAGAGCAGGCTGACACGCAGCCTGGAACTCGCCTCCCATGAGAAGCTCCGCACTTCATGGCCTCAAGCCTGAGAGCCCCCAGGGGGACTGATGTACCTGTCAAATTGCAGGCTGAGGTCCAACCCAGAGGTCCAGAGCCACCAGTGAGGGCCAGGGCTGCAAAACTGCATTTTTTTAAAATTTATTAATTGTAATGAAAGTGTGGAGAGACGGTTTCCAGACATTCATTTATTGTTGCACATTTCTCCCTGCCCACCCTCTACTCCCCATTCACTCTTCTTCTTGAAAAGAAAAAGTAAAACTCTTTCATTGTTATGCAGTCCCTCTCCCCAAGTCCACTCCACTAAGCAGCCTTCACTCTGGACTTCTGTAATGACAAGAATACCCATTCATATGTCCCTTTTAAATAGTTCTCTCCCTCATCTGTTTCAATGCCAAAACATTATTCCTCCCCTCCTTTTCTGTCTTCCCTCAACCCTGAAGTCAGTCCCGTTTTACAACAGTGGCCCTATGCAATATTTGTCCTTTTATGACAGATATTTCACTCAGCATAATGTCCTCCAGGGTCATCCATTTTGCATAATATTTCATGAGTTCTTTGTTTTTCAATGCTGCATAGTATTCCATTGTGTGAATATTCCACAGCTTCTCCATCCATTTGTTTGCTGCTGGGCACTTGGGTTGTTTCCAGCTCTTTGCTATTGCGAACAAAACCACAATAAACATGGGTGTGCATATTTCTGCTTGAGTGGCAGTTATGCTTTCTTTAGGGTAAATTCCCAGTAGTGGAATTTCTGGGTCAAATGGTATTTTTATTTGCATCTTTTTGAGAAAGCGCCAAACAGCCTTCCATGGTGATCGCACCATTTTACACTCTCACCAACAGTGAATAAGGGTGGTTCTAGTTTCTCCACAACCTCACCAGCATTTGATGTTAGCTGTTCTGTTAAAGTTTGCTATTCATACTAGCGTGAGATGATATTTCATAGTTGTTTTGGCAAATCTGCATTTAAACAGCTTCTCCAGGCAATGAGGAGGCAGGAGCTGGCCTGTCACCATTCTGGGGACCAGATCCCAGACCAACCACTGGCCAGTGGCATATCCTGAGGCAAGTCACATAACCCACTGCCTCCGTTTCCCTATTCAGACACTAATGCAGGTCCATCCTTCTAGGGGTGTGCTGAGAATGAACCTGGATGATGCAGATAAAGAATTCCGCGTGTTATCCACGGCAAAGTTCTCGCCTAAGACATGTTAGTGGTCATAAGAAATGGTTTAATGCCAACAACCTGGGCTTTTTGCTCCCTGCATACGGTCCCCTTCTCTTTTCCTCCCACCTCTCTATGAAGTTTAGCTGTTAAGAGCACCAGGTTCTAGAGTCAGGGAACCAGAATTCACATCCCATGGGCTCTAGGTCATATGTCTTAACTTCTCTGAGTGTCAGTTTTCCCATCTGTCAAATGGGCCTGATATTCAGGTTGATGGGAAGGTCAGATAGAAGAGGTGTGCCAAGCTCCACGCCTGGCACAAAGCAAGCACTAACTGAATTAGGATGGTCATTCATGCTGTCTGCTGGGAGGGGAGCCAGGAAGCCAGAAGGCGCAGGGGCAGCCCTGGGCCTTCCCCGCTCCATGTCCTCACTTCCTGTCTGAGGAGGCTGCGTGCCCCCTGTCCCCACTGCTGCCTCCCTGGTCTCTGCCACCAAGGTAACACAGGATGGCTTGCCACCAAGGTAACGCTGGATGCGCTTGCCTTCCGCTCTCCTGCGCACAGACCACACACAAAGCAGAAGTGTTGAGGGGCAGGGCCTGGGCGGTGAGCAGATCTGGCCATGGCTCACCATCAGCTGAGGATGCGTGTTAACCTGCCGGACCCCAGCGGGGCACGGCCAACCAAGCCCAGCCCCACCGGGGACCCAGCTCAGGAAGGAGCCAAGTCTCTGTGGCTTCAGTTGTCCCTCTTTGAAAGGAGGTTTGTACGAGAGAGCCCTGTTCCACTAGAATACGCCCAACCGCTTATGGAAAACGCCAGGAGACACCTCTGGTCTGATCCTAAGACATAGGGCTGGCAGGCACCCATGATGGGCAGATGGATTTCCAAAAGCCGTCACGGTCAAGTCCCTTCTGACTCATAGTGACCTCGCAGGACAGAGAAGGACTGCGCCATGGTCTTCCATGGCTGTAAATCGCGCTTTAGAAACACATTTGCACATCTTTTTTCCGCAGAGCAGGATGGTGGATTTGAACTGCCGATCTTTCAGTTAGCAGCCAAGTGCTTCCCCGCTGGACCACCAGGGCTCCTTATGTTGGATTTACAGATGAAGAAACTGAGGCCCAGAAGGGAGCATGACAACCTGGGGTCACTGAGAGTTGCCCACTATGAAGGACCCTCCTGCCTGGCCCCTATGTCCCTCCCCCACAATCACCCTCCCTCCTCTCTCCCTTCACTTTTGCCTAATCTGTCAGGGTACTGTGTCCCTCCCCCATCTGCCCCTCGCCCACATACCTCACACATCCTCCCCGACCAGGCAGGCTGAGGGGCACTAACACGCGTGGGAGGGTGGCGGAGGCGGGCAACATTTTTGCACCAGGCAGGCACTCCAGGTTCTCAGGAGATCCCCACCACCATCAACCTCAGAAGCCCAGGCTGTCCCCCTTTCCCAGCAGCTAAGCTGAGGTTCAGAGAGGCGCTGTGACTTGCCCAAAGCCGCACAGCAGGACCAAGCCAGTGATCAGAGCCTAAATGTTTGGTTCCCAGCCCCCACCTGCAAGCAGCCCTGGGAGTGTCATGTGTAATATATCCGTTAAGGTCAGCAGTTCAAATTCACTAGCGACTGACTGCTGCTAAGATTTACAGCCTCAAACCCCAATGGAGTGTATCTCTGTGAGTCAGAATCAACTTGATGCCAGTGGGTACCCCACAAAGTTGAAAGCCAAGACTCCCGCCACATGGGATGCCTACATTCTGCACACAGCTCAGGGTGAAGGCCAGGAGTCCCAGGGCCCCCCCTCAGTCCTGTATCCCTCCACCCAGGCAGCTTCCGGGGGGGTGGGGGGACGGGCTAGAGAGCTGTGGGCAGCCCACCTGGGATGTTCCTGCTGGGCCCCGGGACAAGGAGGCAGCCCCTCCCAGCGAGTCCCACACCTGCAGGCAAGGGGCTTCACCAGGGACGCTGGGCAGGAGGGTCTCAGGACACCCGATAGGGGCAGCGAGGAGGCTCAGCCAGGTACCTACCCGTCTCCCACCACCACGCACTTGATGGCCTGCATGGCGTCAGGGGCCTGGCGGGTAGCAGCACTGGCAGCTCAGGCACTGAGCGGCTCTGCAGGCACCTGGGGTGTGGGGAGCCCTCGAGGCGAGGGACAGGAGGCAGAGGAAGCGGAAGGGGAACTTACCCAATCTGCTCCCCCACTGCCGTTTGCAGAAGGCGGGGCATGCAGTCTGACAGAACAGCTCAGGCCTCTTAAGAGTTGGGCTAGGCCTTGGGTGTCCCCACCGTAAGCCCTGCCCTGGACATGGGCAGTGACAGAGGACTATGGACTGGAGGCAGGCTTCCTGCCATGGGGCAGGGCCTGAGATGGTGCTGCAAGTCCTCCAGGCTTCCTAGAACTCAGTGTCTCAACTCTGAGGCCAATAAGATAGATTGACTCAGTAACTGGGGTAATGGGGGTAGGTGTGTCAGAGACAATGAAATTGGCTCAAGATAGAGCAGCGTTCAGAGCTGTTTTACATAGAGAGGGTTGCTATGAATCGGAGGCGACTCGACGGCATGTAACGAGTGTTTACTGTGCATCTACTGCATGCCAGCCACAAAATTGGGTGATGCGGGGGTGCAGGAGACAGAACTTCTTCATGTAGGGAAGAGACCTCATGGGGGGCGGGGG